AGGAATGCTCTTTCCTTGCAGCAAGCTTACAAACTCTTTGTAGCTCTGAGACCTTCAAGATGTAGAAATAGAGATTTCTGTCATGCAACCAGCAAGAATTTGCCTCTTAGATCTCAAATTACAAAGTGCCACTTTTGAGCCTAAGGTGAGAGAATGCCTTATAATATTGCTCTAATATTCTAATCTATAATATTATTCTTTATTTGGCTTACTCCTTATTGATTGCAGTGGACTCTGCAGAAGTCTGTTGAAGAATATAAAAGAAATCTGAAAGTAGAAAAAACCCTTGAGCTCAAACATACTGTACTGCAATCGTGCAGTGATATTGTGTCACCCGTGCTCAGAAGAGAGTATGTTCTGCTTTGTGCCTGGAAAGAAATGTCTAGTGTTAAGAATTGGTTTAGAGACTATATAGTAACTATTGAAAGAGATTTTATCAATACAGATTTACATTTCTCTATTAGCTTAAAAAAAACCTGCAGAACAATTCTGGTAAAAGCAAATGTCAAGAAATAGGTGTGAAAACTTAGATCTGAGTTTTGCATGCAAGTGTCTTTTACCTTTTCATTACCTGAGATTACCTCTTCCCATTTCAACATGACATTTATGTTTCAGCATGATCTACAAACAGACATAACTCAACACAAACAGACAGTTTGGAAATCATATGTCATAAAACCACAACTAAAGCAAGTTCACTGACTTTGCTGAGCCTGGAATGAAAACCGAAAGCCAATTCTCAGAGCATGGTCTTTAAGGTTTATGGTCAGGTGAAAGAAATATATGTCAGACTCCGCAAAAATGAAACCATAACCTGGGTAATGAATAATATACATTCATTAAGGGCAGTAATTTGTGGGTGGTAAATGAAGCCCATTTTTTGTTGGACTTGTCAGAAAATCCTCATTAATTCATATCAGTTATCTGCCTCCATCAAGGTAATTTGATTTCAGCCTGTGGAAAACAACTGCAAACTCCTGGTTGTATTAAATCATTACCAGATTAAATAAACAAATAATATTAAAGCAAATAAAATACATCAAACCCCCTGAAGTTCCAGAAATGCCATAATCACATTTCATTGCAAAATGTATGATCTGGAGGGAAAAAAAACAACCCATACCTTAGAGAGTGGTTTCCTCTGAGCGCAGTTTATACCTCCAATAAAGACCATATTGGGCATCACCGGTCTGACATACTCAAACACAAAGTCAAACCTCAGAAGCCAAATGGAAGCAGAGTCCACGAGGTCTATGAGGGATACATCCCTCTGAAGAAGGTCAGAAGCAAACTCCAATGCAATTCCGTAGAAACCGTTACAGTACGCAGGCTCCAGGAGGTGAACCAGAGCATTTTCCACTCTCTGCAAGAAAGTCATTTGGTCAGAGTTGAAGGTAAATAGCCTGGGGATGTAGGACAGAGGACTTGGGCACCGTGGTGCATCATAGTGTAAGTTGCAAGGAAATCCTCTCATAAAGAACGCGTATGGAAGAGAAAAATACTGAGCAAGCAGCGGTCCACACATAAAGATGGGGTCTGTTAGGAGAGCATCAAAACTGCTTTGATTCACGTACTGAAGGAGCTCCTTGTTGCTGAACAGGTTCTTGCACTGAGTAAAGAGTAATTCGAAAACATGCACCGAGCCATTGTATATTGCTAGAGTGTTCAGTGGGAAAGGCAGACCCTTCAGGTGAGCTGCAACATACCCAGAAAAGGCATTATTCAGGTCTTCTAATGTGTAGGACACTGGGTATGTTTTCACGGTGTAGGCCTGTGCCACTCTCATCTGCCAGCTTACTTCTGGTACAATCACCACCACTTCATGTCCTTTCTCGCTGAGCTTTTCAACCAGTGGCCGCATGCTAAGCCAGTGACTTCCATCCATGGGCAATACCAGGAGTTTCCCTCCATCTGAGAGGCCAGGAAGGAGGAGGATGAAAATCCAGGCACAGCAAAGCCTCAAAGTCATGTTGCTGTGGTCAGAATAAGGACTGTGAAAGTCTTCTCCTTCAGGATGTAGACTGCAGATGCTTTTGAAGGAAGCTAGTGGGTTTATATGCTGAGTTGGGCGGCGTTATCATAATCTTCTAGTTAATGATTTACTGCTTTGGATTATGGGCCATTTGGGTTGTTTTCCTTTCTCATTACTTGTGAAGCCAAATGCAGTGACCCTTTATTGTGCTGAATCATTGAAGCTTTTATGTTCAACAGAGAACTAGCTCCTCAGCATGCTAGTACGATTTCCTGCAACTCTCTTAACCATTAATGCATCCCGTCTCACATCTTGGCTAGGACTAAGGAAGGCAAGTCAGGTGCAAACAGCTCCACCACCACAGTAACAAACGTAAACAGCCTCAACGAATTTCCTTGTGGTTGGAGATGTGCATGTTCAGATAATTTCTCCAAGGACAGAGACCCTCAAGAGAAGGCGAATGGGTAGGTGAAGCAAATCTGAGCTAGAAGGAATCTCCAGAGTCTACAATGACACCAAGAAGGGACAAGGAACGAGGCTTCAGAGCAGTTCTGCAGTTGTTTCACAGCCTATGAGATAGATGGCTCTCAGGCAGCTGAAAACTCCTCATCACTTGCCTATATGTCAAGTAGAAACCAGACATAAGATTGTACTAAATGTGTCGTAATGACTACTACTCCCAGTACGGCTTGGACTGTTCAATAGAGACTTGGGTGTCAGCCGAGCGATCGACCTGGCTTAGCCAACGAGCAGCTCCAGCACAAGTGTGGGTTTGCAAGAGCAATCAGCTTCACAGCATTGCTTCTGATGTTATTGGTGCCAAAACTATCAGATGCCTAAATGCAACTGTGACATGGAAAAATAATGTAACCTGGGATATTCAGAGCCATGTAGCCTCTGTCTCTCAGGCACACAACTTTTCTCTCCCTTCCATACCACAGTCAATGCAATGAAATTCATTGCATATTGTTTTCTTCTCTTCCCTTGTGTAGCGAAACGACTGGAAAAGTATCAAAGAGCAGTTTTCTTTCAGGATAACATTCCAGAAAACCGAATATATGAGCTTCTGAGTAGGGGGAGAAGCTCTGAGGTAAAAGTTCACAAATACCCTCAGGATCTTTGATGTTACTACAAAGTGTAAGGAAAAAAAAAGATGAATAACTAAACCAGGTTATTTCCAGGTTTATGTAAAACACACTTTAAAATGATCGTTGGGAAGACGACCAGTTTAGCAAACAACCTTTTCCACAAAAAGGTTAATTTATGTCTTTTGTAATGGCAACCTCCCATTTGCTGCAAAGGGGTAAGCAGAGAGCTGGCAGGGAGACATCCTGCCCTCGCCTCCCTTCTGCATCAGGATGCATTTGCCATCCAAACCTTGCAGAGCATTTAACAGGACAGCGAATGCAAAGGCAGGCCCAGGCCTGGTGAAGTTAATCAGTACCTTAGAGGTGTTTCTGAGTGTTTCAGGGATTGCCAGAGGCTCCCAGAGTTCACTTGATTATCTGGCAAGGGCTTCTTGATGAGTTAAACTTTGCTGGGTTCAAGGGAGTGCGAGATAACAGTTGCAGGTCACCAGGAAAATAAGAGGACAGTAAGAACTTTGAGTGTGGATAAGAAGCTGCAGAGCTGGGTGATGCCAAGGAGCAAATGGGCAACCCCAATGGAAAGGAGCTGTGCTGGAAAGTGCCAGCGGGACTGAGGGATGCTGTGTCAGCACAACTGCTGCCTGCGGCTCTGTGGCCCTGCCGGCATCATCATGGAATCAGAGAATCCTAGAATGGTTTGGGTTGGAAGGGACCTTAAAGATCATCCGGTTCCAGCCCCCTGGGGGTGTTGGGTGAGGAGGGGCTCCCCATGACCCGGCTTCAGTGTGTGTTTGAGGCCAGAACCCCCCCGTGTGCTGGGTGCACCCCCAGAGCGTGAGGAGCAGCTCAGGGAGGGGATCCTGCCCCTCTGCTGTGCTCTGGGGAGACCTCAGAGCAGCTCCAGTGCCTAAAGGGGCTCCAGGAAACCTGGAGAGGGGATTTGGACAAGGGATGTAGGGACAGGACAAGGGGAATGGCTTGAACCTGCCAGAGGGGA